TTATAACTAAGTCTTTCGTTAGTAAATTATTACGTACACCTTTCTGTAAGTGTACGTAATCATAAAGAGGAACAATTTCATGATTTTTCACAATAAATGTATTTTCTGTAATAAAAATAACCTTATTTATTTCCGATATGTTGATGATATTATTTAAAATATTTGGTAGTTTACTTACTGGGATTCTTACACTTCTTTAGACGATGTTCATTTGTTTCTTTGATTAACATATTTATAGCTGCTACATTTGGACCCCCTTGGTCACAGACTGTTGCGACAGGTTTAAAGCCGCATTTTATAATGACAGTCAACCATTGTTTAATGCATCGTACTAATTGAATAGTACGAGTCGCGCTATTACAAAAGCCATATCCTAGAGGCATATGGTTACCGGAAGCAAGGCATCGAATATAAAACATGATTGCGTGATCGGCTAATTTTCTTGTTCTACGCATTCCCCAATCCTCAAAGCCAATTATTATATCCTTTTTTTTATCATAATACACGGCAGGTTGTAATGACATTTCATCCCATATTAAAACTGTATTTAGATCTTTGGAATCTATTTCCTTTGCAACAGATTTCAAATATTTAATAGTAATATTATTGTGCCCAGCGTTCAAGGAAATTTTTTGTAATTCCCTTTTCAAGGTACTTATAGAAGGGCAAGGGAAGTATTTAGATAGAAAAGTGTAAGCTGAACGAGATAAACGACAAAGTGCTAGGAAAAACGCCTTTTCTCGTTTTTCATAACGTCTTGCCTACATTAAGAAAAATTGATTTAGAATATCAATAGAAATATAAATTTCAGAAACAAATTTTATAAAGAATTTTATATAGTCATATAGAATCTCGATTGAATAACTCTTCCAGGCGTCTAAGGTAGGCTTCCACTACAATGCCTTACTAATGAGTCCAGTAGTGTAACAAAACGCTATTTTTACGTTTTTTTTAAATAGTGCTTTAATTAAATATTTAATAAATTTCTATATAATACAAGAACCATTCATTTGATTTAACTACTACATATATTAGTTATTTAGCAAATATAGTAATATTTATTTTCTATAAATAAATATTTTAGCAGTACTATATCTAAACAACTATTTATTAATATGTATTTATTAAAATGCATTTTTTCATAGTATAAAAATGCGAGATGAAATAGAAGAACACAAGAAAATAAGATAAAAATAGGAATAGATTTAAGGAATATCAGAGAATTAAACATGTACCTGTGGTGCGACATCATTATTTCTTACAAGCATATTTATAAAATCCTGCCGTACAGTTTGTATTGTTGTATCAACTTTCGCTTTACTCCTTTTTGTAGATGATAACTGAATTCTTTGATTTTTTAATTTATGTTTTTGTATGGCTATCCGTTTAAGTCTCTTTCGTTTTCTTGCAGCTTTCGTCATTTTAAGAATTTTATTGTATAATTTCTTAGATGTAGGACTTAATAGGCTTTTCCGTGTAGTTTCTTCAAGGTAAGGTCTTACACAACTTGTAAAAAAAAAATGGCGGACTTTAGAATTTTTTCACCCCTTTTTTACCCCTAAAATCGTCTAAAAAAGGGGTTAAAAGTAAACGAAAAATTCTAATTCTACTAGGGGCTAAAACTACATAAATTCTGAACAACCCCTGAAAATTTCAGCCCGATCGGTTAAGTAGTTCTCCCAAAATCGTGGTCCAAAGGTCGAAAAACGTAGTTTCGAGAAAAACGCGTTTAAAGTTTTGTGTTGAAAATTGTTAGTAAAATTATAAAAAAAAGCTTCTTACGCTCAATCGGCGATGCCTGCTCCATACATTATGCCTTCCTGCTCATCGTAGTAATCATTTTGGGCAGATTGCATGTTTCTGAGCTCAGTTCTTCGCTCTTTTGATGAATTTAGCCTTTGACGGTTCGCGGCTTGGATGCGATTGCGGTCACGTAGTTTTGCGAGTTCGGCTGCATTTCTTCCGATGGTAACTCCCATAGTCTCCATAACTTTCAATAACGGCTGAAAACCTTCGTTAAATGTGCATGCAGCACAATAGCTCGCAATCTCGACGATTTTTTTTACCGGCGAACATGTTTTTAGGCACTAAGTGCCAAACGCACGAGTTGAAAGCCTCGTTTGAATTTTGCGTATCAGCACCGATACATCGTTCTAATAAATCCTCCGTTGTAAGATCTTCATAAACTTTTTTCAGTAGAGGTTGAATCTGGTCGTCCAACGCGGGGGGGTGCTTAAATGTATCCAACTCTCCAATGGCTTCAGCGACACGATATGCGCACCAGGAATCGGCTCCTTCTGGACAATTATCGTGATTAGGTTTCTCGTCAGTCGAAAATTTGTGGAAGAACGTTGCCCATATGGCTATTCTCATTTCTTCTACGGAATCCGAATGTCTTCGCACGGCTAATTCATAATAAGTTGATAATTTTTTCATAATATCATTGGTAAATGCAGCGGTTTTCACTATTGGCTTTTCAATTGATTTTCTCGCCGCACTTTTTCTTTTCGTTGACGCTGTTGGTTTCGATTTTGAACTGTTTCCTACGTTGCTTCGTTCTTCCAAAATTTTCTTCGTCTTCTTCATTCGTGTCAGTTCAGTTTTTATGTCTTTAGCTCGTTTATACATGCGTTTTTTTACGTGCAAAACGCATTCTTTTTTTTTTACAATAACATCTTCACCGTAGGGAGCAATATCTTTTAGCTGTTTAAAAGTTTTTGTGTCGCCATCACCTACATACTTTTCGTAGTAAACGTTATGCAGGCTCATCGATCTTTCGAACATTTCAATGACAGAGTTAACTTCCATTAATCCAGCACTGCCTTCATGATTAATATCACAGGTTGATTGGTGCTCTTCGTACCATACATTGAATTCGATATCATCTTTATTGCCTTTCCACATCGAACACTTTTTACACACACTCGATTTCACGACAAGGTCGAGAACTTTTCCGGAATATTTCCCAATTAAAGTGGCCAAACCAATGAGAGAAGAAAAACCTCTTCGAGCCCACGAGCCATCGCCAGAAACTGTGAGATGATTTTTGATGTTGCCAGCATTTTCATTTTTTTGTTGCTCTTCCTCGACTGCTCTTCTAAATACGATGCTTGCAACAGTCTTTGCTGCTATCCAAATGTGTTCAACTAAATCGTAATAAGTACTTGGACTAAATCCGTGGCTCATATCCATCAGTCCACAAAAATTGCTTATTCCTTGAAATCCAACGCCGATCATACGCATTGCAAACACGAATCGACGATTTATTTCGAACGATGTGTTAAGTTGTGGAGAGTTTGGAATTCGAATTTCTGTTTCACACTTACACTGCACGACTAATTGAAATCCTAAGCCTTTTTCCGCACGTTTTGAAAACCGTATATCGCTTTTACATGTCTTACACATAACAATGCCTTGTAATGTAACAAACAATGCGAAATTCACTATGTGATAATGCAAACCAGGATCAACGTTCACTTCAAAATCCGGATTGTTTTTTGTAATTTTACGAGCCGATGCACTTGTGTCACTTGTATTTCTTTCACTTGTGTGTTTATTACCACGAAAATATCTTTTTCTTTGACGTGATAGCCTACTATTCCTGGTTCTTTTTTTATCCATCGTTATGTATATATATTAGCGTTTCCGGAGCAATATACACACGACAACAATACTTTTCACGAAAATTAACGTTCGGCTAGTCTCACACGATGCCGACAATGCGGGAAAATCAAAAACCGGCGGCAAAGCGAAGCGAACCGCGTTACAGTGGATATACCTGAAGTGACATCTGTGCGCTCAAATAAGTACTTGCTTAGAAGCGCCTCTAGGACTTCTTCTCGGTCGATAATCGATTTCTAACTATTTCTACACTAATTCTACATACTTAAGGTACCCGAAAATGATGTTTTTGGAAAATCGAAAATTTTGAAAAATAAACCCATAAAGTGGCCTTCAAGGTAAGGTCTTACACAACTTGCTTTATATTGCATTTTCAATATGTTCTCCATATTTTCGATTCTTTGTTGTTGTTGTGTTACAATATTATCGTGTTGTGTCAATCGTTGTTCATGTTGGGCCAATACCTCGTCATATTTGTCTTGCAAAATCATAGAATGTTCATGCAACGTCTCTTGTTCTTGTTGTTCATGCTGAACCAATACTTCCTCCTCTTTATCTTGCAAAATCATAGGATTGTGTTCATGCAACATCTCTTGTTCTTGTTGTTTATGCTGAGCCAATACTTCCTCCTCTTTATCTTGCAAAATCATAGGATTGTGTTCATGCAACATCTCTTGTTCTTGTTGTTTATGCTGAGAAAATACTTCCTCCTCTTTATCTTGCAAAATTATAGGATTGTGTTCATGCAACATCTCTTGTTCTTGTTGTTCATGTTGTTCTACATGATTACTACAATTAAAGTTATTAACTACTTCTTGTTGCGGCACATTTATGAATGGAACTACAAAATGTAATAATACTCGATATGTTGCAGAACCGCTGTAATCCTCCTCACGAAAATGCCTATGGCATATTCTCAACTTTTTAATTTCCTTATCTTCTTGTGGTGGTTCCATGTGCAAACTTTCGAACCATTTTTTTCGGCGTTCGGCATTCTTTGGAAAAGCATGACGTGGAGCGTGCTGTCCCGAAGAACACCCGGGGACACAACAAGATCTCATATTTCTAATTCGTCAAAATTTTAAAATTATTTAATACTTCCGTGCTTGTTTGTATGTTTGTTCATGTATGTACTTTGTTTACGGTAATTATAAGTAAAAATGCTTTGCAATAGATGTGAAGTTATTCGTAAAATGTCTAGCACTTCGCCAGCAACAATAAGTTGGCTACAATGTTGAAAACTTTTTTGTATTATTAGATGGAAATATTAATTCAGTAAAAAAGCAGATAAAAATATATTACCTTTCCTGAATTTTCCGAAGAAAATAACTGAGCAGTTAAGTATGTGTGGTGGTGGCTGGTGATGGCCATATACTACAATGTACTACAGCGACTACAGCTGTGTGCAGCCCAGTGCAGCCATATTGGATTTTGGGTACGTAGTTCCATTTTTCCAACTGTGCAGCGGCGAGGGCGCCACAAACGCTGACTACTCAAAAATACGGGAGTGAACTGGCCCTGGACCGCGCGCGTTAGCTTACCGCGTTTGGAGGTCCCCGCCATATATGTAATACTACTATATGGCTAGATGAGAGAGAAGTCCATGTCCCAGAACCACGGTGCGGGAATATACTTCTCTCTCTTTCTCAGCGTACTTTGAACGTTGTGCGCATGCGTCGGATCATCCCCTCCATCAATAATAAATAGAAGGATAAATATACATATATGTATAAGGAAGAAGGAAAAAGTGATTGATTCCGCTTCAGGGTATAACCTTGTTAGGCTGGATCCTCATACAGGCGCCAGCGCTTTAGCGCCAAACGCTGATTGGTGTAAATTTGCGAAAAACGGGTGGAGGGGATAGATAGCAAGAAAGCACCAGCGCTGTCATGAGGATTGAGTTTTTCACGATTTTTTGGCGCTTAAGCGCCAAAATGTATGCACTATCGTAAATATAGTCGAATTTCTTTCTTGTAGACCGTGGACCATTGTGACTGTGGTGACTCGACAAGTTTAAAGCATTTCTGCGGCGAGGTCACAAGAAACATCTTGCCTTACGAGACACGTATGTATTATTCTATTATTTAATAAATCGTATAAATTACACTATGCAATATATAATTACTATATATTTATATAAATTATTAAATCGTATAAGATCCCTTGCCAAGTGTGTCGAGTTGTTTTAGTTTATTTTACGAATTTTATTTTTTTTTTATATATTTATTTTATGCAGCTTTTTTTTATGAATATATCTTAAAATTTCGAAACTATGTATATGTTGACAGATATTGACATAGAGTGATATACATTTGCATTTGGCGCAAGGTCTCGGGAGACTATCGCCGGGACATTTGCCAGGATTGCTGGGCCAGATTCCCGAACCGAATGCAAATCATTTGAGAAATTATCTCCAAACGGCCGGTATTACCATTACATAATACGAGCTAGATATCCGAGACAGATTGAAGATCCATTTGATAGTTCAAAAAATTAACAAAATTGAACTCGACAAGTTATAAAGAGGAATCCCTTTTATACAGTTAATTGTACAATTTGTGAGAAATACACATTATCGATTCAGCCTGCTTGTATTGGGGAGATATTGTAGGAAAGATTTGTCATTTTGTTATGGATCCAATGAGTCTATATCAATATCAAGTGCAAGTTGCAGTATTGCAATTTAAACGAGATTATTATATATATAATCAGCAAATCTTACAAAGACGCAAATTACTGGTTGCGATACTTGCGTCAGGTATTTTAAAAAAAAGGAAGAAATACAAACGGAAGCGTTTTTGGATATCAGAACTGTGTCAGAATAGACACAATTTCGGTGCTTTTTATAAAGTGTACCCTATCATTCTAAATGATCCAACAATGTTCAGGAATTACTGTCGTATGACCAAAGAACAATTTGAAGATCTATTGCAATTGATTGCTCCACTAATTGTTAAAGAGGATGCAATACGGACACCAATCTCACCTAAAGAGCGTCTGTTGTTGACGTTAAGGTACTTAACATTTCTAATTTTTTAATATGTAATATTTATTTAATATTTATATAATAAATAAATTAGATAAAAGAAGATAAAAATAAAAATAGATAAAAGCTCGAAATAATATCTACATAATATAATTTATTTAATATATATGTATATTAATTTATATCCATTTAACATACATTTTTAATTTTAAAACATCTGATGTAAATGATTAAAAAAGTAGGAGTTTTATTTATTTGAAATCAATGTTTTTAAATAGTACTAATATTATTTTATTTTATGAATAGGTACTTAGCATCGGGTGATAGTCAAGTGTCTATGTCGTATGAATTTGGTGTTGGAACAAGCACAGTTTCTCAAATAATTTCGGAAACTTGTACAGCATTGTGGGTACAATTAGCTCCTCTGGTTCTGCCAACACCAAATTCAGAAGATTGGAAAAACAGCGAAAAGAATTTCAGATGTAAATGGAATTTTCCAAACTGTGTGGGTGCTATTGATGGGAAACATGTAGTAATTCAAGTAAATTTTAAAAATTACAAAACTCAAAAGTTGGTTGTCAATTTAAGTAAAAAACGTGTGACAAAAATATAAATTTTATCATGATAAATTGTGTCTTTTATCGGTTAAGCATTTTTAGATATATATATATTTTTTTTTAAAATATGGTTTCTCGCGACCACGGTCACATATATTAATTAATTAATTATATATTTTACAGGCTCCACAACATTCGGGATCGACGTATTACAATTACAAAGGCAGTCATAGTCTAGTATTATTAGCCATTTGCGATGCAAACTATAAATTCCTCGTAGTTGACATCGGCGCTGAAGGACGTCAAAGCGATGGAGGAGTTTTTAGAAACTCGTCTATTGGACAGGCATTGATTAACGGAGAAGCAGATTTTCCACCAGACAAACAAATTTACGATGATGGTCCTGCACTACCACATGTTTTAGTAGGCGATGAAGCATTTCCTTTAACAACCTATCTCATGCGTCCATATCCTGGAAGAAATGGATTAAGTATCGATCAAAGGATTTTTAATTATCGTTTGAGCAGGGCACGAAGAATGATCGAAAGTACATTTGGCATTCTTGTGTCACAGTGGAGGATTTTTAGAAAACCTATCATTGCAAATGTCGAAAATGTACATAAGATAATTGAGGCTTGCGTTTGCTTGCATAATTTTATACGGAATATGGACGTCGATGATGAAAACTTGGAATTCGAATGTAATGATAATTATAATACAATGAACAGTTCAGATCATGGTTCAGGTGGAATGCGAAACATAGGTCGTCTTGGATCAAATACATACTCACGCGATGCTGTTCGTGTGAGAGATGAATTTATGATGTATTTCAAGGAAGACGGTGCTGTTAATTGGCAGACTTCATCAATTTAGATTAAATGTTAACATTAAATATCTTGGAAAGGAGCACAAAAGTTATTTTTATTATATTCATGTATTACTTTAACACGTCGTATGATACAATGTAATCTCTTGCAATCTGTTAGACTGACTTCCACAATAACATGTGATTCATGCTAATGTATGTGTCTGCTCTTTTAAAATAAAGTTTATATGCATATTATATTCTAGCCATATTATATTCTTATCACCGCATTATCACAGATTAAGAATCGACAATTAGTGGATTTCTGACTAAAAGAAATATTGTACTAAACAATTACATTCAATGTAAAAAAACGAACATGTTGAGGAAAATAATCGTTGCTTAAATCTTTACAATAAGTAAACATTAAATCATATAAATATACGTACGTATAGTTACATTAAAAGCCAAATTACAAACTCTTAAATAAACAAATATTGTACTAAACAATTACATTCAAGGTAAAAAAAACGAACATGTTGAGAAAAATAAACGTTGCTTAAATCTTTAAAATAAGTAAACATTAAGTCATATAAGTATACGTATGTAGTTACATTATGTATCACAGCAGTATATGTATATAAATGTACTACGTTTTTATAATCTCCCTCCTCTGTATCAGCAAACAATCTTCTAATGTTGGCTTCACTTTCTCCAACATATTTATCCCAAATTTGTGGATCATTTACAATCTTTGGTTCTCTTGCATTTAACAACTAATAGGAACAAATATAGGAACAATGGTCCCTATTTGTCGACCCACTAATTTTTTACTGTACCAAGTGATCCTGATAAAGTATAAGTATAAAGTATAACAGTAATATATATTCATGCGAACATTACTTATAAGCAAATTGAAAATGTAATAGGATTAATTCGAGTATCTTTAAACAAAAAGAAATTAAATTTTTTTACATGTAATAGTTTTTCATGTTTAATTATATCCAAAGGTATTCAATTATATTATCCGGCCATTTTAGAGAAATCTTGTTGAAGGCTTACTTAAAGTATAGACTATTAAAAAATTAAAACAATTATATTGTTATAATTGTTTTAATTCTTTCAATTGTCTATACTTGAAGTAAGTCTTCAACTAGATCTCTCTCTAAAATGGATAATATAATTAAATATTTTGGGATATAATTAAGCATGAAAAGCTATTACATGTAATTTTCTTTGTAATTGTTTTAAGTGCTTTGCTTATAAGTATTTTCATTTGCATATATAAATGTGAGCAATTTTATAATAAATTCGTGTCTTCTCGCATTAGGAATTGTGTTTAAAGATATTCGAATTAATCCTATGACATTTTCAACTTCGTCATTCTGTGCTACTTGTGGTAATGGTGGTAGGACCAATTCAGGCACTGTTGGTGCAGGTGTGTTTAATAAAACGTTGGTAAGTTTTGTTAACATTTCGTCACTTGACTCCGTTGAGCGACCTATAACAATGTTTATATTACATCGAAAGTTAGATTTTTTTACTTATAATTATAAGTTTATCAGTTAATACCCAAGTAGAACACAAAAGTCATAATGATGTCATGTCAATCAATTTGATGTCATTTTAACTAAATTGTGATCAAATAATGATAAAAAAATGACATCAAATTGATAAATTTGATCAATATGACATCAAATTGATATCATTATGACTTTTGTGTTCTACCTGGGTATTAGCCAAAAATCACAATAAAAACTTACGTTTCTTTTTTGTTGCTCTTTCTGCTGATGATGAACTACTTGATGGAACTGATAAGTCGTCATTTGATGGTTCCATATTGGAACTTGTTCTATAAATAATTAACAACAAACATAAATTAAAAACGCATTAATTATTTATAAATATATTACATAAATTATAAATAAATAAATTATTTACCTTCGATTGTCGATAAAGAGACCCTTTGTAAAACTCATCATATCATAATAAGGCCATTTATGCTTTTTCATGCTACTGCCAGCTGAGCCACTCTTTTTGGCATTCTTTTCTCTTGCTACAATTCTCATATAATTGTAGCGTAACCTCTTCCAAATGCTTTTTGCCTCGTTAGCATCCTTGACGTTTCCTATAAACAAATTGCAAGCTCATTATTTCAAGACCATTTTGTAATAACATTTTAAATATTTGAAAAAGTGTACTTTTCTTTTATTAACATACCATTCATAGCGGACGCTACTTCTTCCCACAATTTTTGCACATTACCTCTGCCCCTTTCTGAAGTAGACACTGTATGATTCCACAAAGGTATCCGTTTGTGAACTTCGCTGATTAACATTTCATTGCGAACAAGTTCTGCCGTTGAATCATCTCTTGAATGAATCTCATTCATGGGATCGATAATCATGCCATCATCTGCAAAAGAATATTTGTACAGTATGTCTTTGAATATAACCAGGGCTAAGATTATTTAATATAAGATAGGAAAAATGTTAACACATATTAAACTTAAAAATCACATGCAATATCATTTATCGCACTGCTAGCTTCAGTCTGAGTTGAAAACATTTTCATTCTTAAAGCGAAAATAGTATATAATTGCACTATTGCCAAATAAGCACTTGATACATAAATATTTAAAAAATGTGTGGAAAAAAATATAAATAAATATGTATGGAAAAATGTAAATAAATTAGTTTTATGGAATGTAACTTTTTAATATACTAAGAAATTAATAACTTGTAATAGTGACATCGTACAATACATTAAATGATCTTTTATATTTTTGATAATTGATATACAAAGGTCAAAACTTACCAAGTTTTGGATATACGTATCCTGCATCATCGACATGTATTGAATTATAGCCATCGTAGCAGCTATGGTCCATTATGATATCTCGATCTACAGTGGCATCACATATTGCGCAGATGTTTTCCTATAAAAAGAAAAATAATAATCGTAGCAATAATAATAATAATAATAGTAATATAAATAATAATCGTCGATAAATAGTGCGCAAAAAGCCAAAAAGGTAAAAGCCAAAAAGCAAAAAACAAGAAGCAAAGAGCACATTGTAAATCTGGCTTTAAATTTATTCGGAATTTGATTATACAATAAATAATATACAACATGCAATTATATTGATCATTTATAATATACACATTTATATTTTCATAATATATTGCGGAATTTTATCGAAAAATATTTGCTGAAGTACACTTACTTGAAGGTTAGCCATTTTTTTTCTTCATTTGTGATTGTGTATACGCGACGCACATCGGCACATATGTGTTCAAGCGCTGATTGAAAAAGTTCGACTCGGTCGAACTTTCGGCGCCGTGTTGTTATCGGAATGTCACTAGACAATGGATGTAGCTGCTAAAGATTGAATTTTTTTAATTTTGTGAAAAACATATAAAATGAAATAGATTTGCACATAATTTGATACAAAGAAATATAAAATAGAAATATAAAGATAGTTTATAATTTAAAAGTTTATTTATAAAATTGGACAAGAAATATCGTTACCATTTTTCTCAATTGGACAGCTCTTATTGGCTACTGTTCAACTTTTGAAACAGCGTTTGAGCGCTGGCGCTAAAGCGCTGGCGCCTGTATGAGGATCCAGCCTTAGAGTTAACAGAGTCAGTTTAGTCGGAATAAATAAATTAATCCTAATTTTATGAAATAAACTTTTTCAAGATTGCCGTTATGTATATAAGAATACAGTGCAATCCCTTACAGAAATTTCATGATAATCAGTGCAAACTAATACCTATTTCATACCTATGCAAACTAATGTTTTCAGTCGCATTAGGCGCATTAGGCTTTTTGCCACATAAATAACATATCTTGACCATTTTTGCCTGTGTACAACAGCACACATCTAATAAGCATAACGAGCATAACCTGTTCGCGTCATCTCACTGATCGCACTCTATTTTCCTATTGGCGGATGCAATCAATCCAACGCATGCGCACAACACTCAAAGTACTCTTAGAAAGAGAGGGAAATATATATTCCCGCACCGTGGTTCTGGGACCGCTTCCTCTCACTCCCACTTATAGGCACTAGCCATATAGTAGTATTACATATATGGTCCCCGCGCCTGGCAGCCATTGACTCCGCGGCGACCACCACAATTCTTCCCGCGCGAATTTCCCACGACGTCAGCACCCTGTGACGTCATTTTTCTCCCTGTCATCCTCCCCCTTCCGTGACGTCATACCCCTCTCACCCTGTGACGTTATCACCCTCCCCTACCGTGACATCATACCCCTCGCCTGCATCCGTGACGTCATCCCCCTCCCCTCCCGTGACGTCATACCCCTCTCGCCCTGTGACGTCATCCCTCCCCGTGACGTCATACCCCCCGCGCCTGCATCCGTGACGTCATCCCCCTCCCCTTCCGTGATGTCATACCCCTCTCGCCCTGTGATGTCATCCCTCCCCGTGACGTCATACCCCCTCGCCCGCATCCGTGACGTCATCCCCCTCCCCTGCCGTGGCGTAGACCCCCCCGCGCCTCGGGTTCCCCTCGCCCCTCACCCCCCCTCAGAGGACATGGATTAGAATCCCCTTATATATTCTACTTATGCACCTCCCAAAAATGGACTTTGGTGGCTCGGGATAAGAGACTTGTAGCGTCTCGCAGTTTTTGAACATGGCCGGAGACGCTACCGCGTCTCCTGGTATACAAAAAATAAGGAAAAACAAATCCAGAAAAGAAAAGGCAAGGATTTAAAAATAATAACATCTTACAACAATGTATATTTTTAACATATTCCAAACTATTTAAATATACCTTTTAAAGAATATCCTTTGATAAATAATAAATACCAATCAAAAAATTATTTTTTAAATTTTTGCCTCTTCTTTTCTGGCCTTTCCTTACAGTAAATCTGAAATTCATAATTATAAAGAATAGAGAGAACAAATTATAATGAACAAATATTAAAATAAATAAGAAAACTTGGTATAATGTTATTACGAAATTGATCAGAAATCCTCTCTCTCGATATTAATTATTAAAAATAAATCCCAAAAGATCAGTAATAATTTTAA